CCCTGCTTATGCAAATGAAGCCCGGGAAATTCAAATCCCGGGCTTCATTTGCAAGTGCGGTATGCATACATTACCCCGCTAGTTCGAACTAGGAGGGTAGTGTAGACATACCCTTACAGATTTATTTTTCAGTCTATTTGTTGTCTGTGAGTGGGTTGCCTTATTAAATGAGACCATTGTTCCCCCTCAGAAAAGGAGAAAAGGGTGCAGCAATGGCTGGAGCTCCTATTTTATATAGACTTTGGACAGTTTTGGGATCTGTTAGGCCAAAAACTGGTAGAAGCAATAAAAGCTGTTGTATGGAAAATGGTCACATACATTAAAGAGTTTGCTGGATCCATGCAATAACTGCTTCATGTAGAGATTCAAATCGCTCATTCTTTTGTGTTCAAGATCTGTAAAAGGTAAATGCCACCAGTGGGGAAATCTGAAAGAAAGAACAGGAAGACATTTTATTTCTCCTGAAAAAAAAAATTACAGTTTACTCTACTTTACATAAGAGCAGGAGGAGCTCTTTAAGATTTTGTTCTATTATTTTTATTTTATCTAAAGCAAGGGACTATGATCCAAAGGACAGGGTACTCAGTTTGGACTCGAGATCCAAGTTCTACTCCTTGGTCTGCTAATGACTTCCTATGTGATCTTGGGCAAGAACTTCAGCTTTGTGTCTATTTCAATGTAAAGGCCATATTTTCAAAGGTATTTAGGACATCTAATAGGAACGTATCTGAATCTCTAGACACTACGTCTAACTTTTTTTTGGAAAACTGTACACAAAATGTGCTCCACAATTTGTGTATCTTTTTCCGTTTTTTTTTCCTGGAAGGCTTTTCCAAAATTTGGCCCTTCTACACTGGGCCATATTTTGGAAAAAACTTCTCTTTCTCATGGAATGAGGAAGACAGGGCTTCCAATAGCGCACATCTGCTCTTTCGCTTTTTTTTTGCAGAAGAGCAAATGCGTTCCCTGGACACAGTGCAGTTTTTTCAGGATACCTCTGGTATTGTGAACCCCCCCCCCCCACACACACACAGTCTAAACATGAAATTACATACCAGTAACAGTGGCTCTCTGTTCCCAGCCAATGGGAGCTGCAGGGCGCTGTACATAAAGACACTCAATGTAAACAAACTCTGTCTCAGCTTGTCAGCAGATTACCATGATGGGCCATGTGCCAAAGGTTGCCAGCCACTGGCCTAGTGTAAAGGATTACTACTATTTCTAATAACAATGAATCACAAAAAAGTATCAAAAAATTCTTGCAACATCTCATCAGTATAGCTTTGCTTCTTCCCTTAACCTTATCCCTCCTTTTCGTCAATGTAGATTATAAGCTCTCCAGAAAAAGGTCTGTCTTGTATTAGCTGTTTTTAGTACAGGGCCTCTGACAGTGGGTCCCTGATCCCCATTGTGGCCTCTAGGGGTACCATAAATCAAGTAATATGTGAAATCACAATAAATAATAATAACAATGATTATTGACTGGATTTTTATTAACACTAATTTTACTTCAATAACATTAAACTTTGGTTTAATAATTAAAACAACAACTATCTAGTAATTTTCTATGTCGTGATCCTGTTCCAACTTCAAATTATACAGCTATTGAAGATAACTAATATTTTAAATATCTTTTCGCTTAAGTATGTTACAAAAGCTACCTTTAAATACCTCTCCCTTCTTTACAAGCAAAGCAGGACTCAATCAGCAAGAATGTTAGCTTTCTAACAGTGCACCTCATTGGATTACATTGACCTTGGACAGGAAGGACTATTTCTCTGGCAAGATGAGGGAATATATTGTAGGACTCAGAAGAGCTATCTGTGCTAAATTGCATGTGAAGGGGTTTGAGATATGGATTACTAATATTAAAATGAGATTGTTAAACTAATATTATGCTTTGCATCCTCTCATCTACATGTTTTAGAAGAGCAGAAGTTTTAATTTGATTGTATTAAGTTTCTCAATGCCACTCGAGGCATTTAATAATGACTCATTTCCATTCTCCCCCTCCCCCCTCCTGTGTAACAATGTTTGTCCTAACATCTCAGAAGAGGTCTGAAAGTGTCAGATGAGCAGACTGCCAGCCAGCCAGCAGTCTAGCACAGTAAAATGACACTTGGACAGACTTTTGAAAGCCTGTTGATCAGATCCTTGCTTTGATCAGTCTGTACCTAATTCCAGAGCTCTGCAAAAAGCTGCCGCTGGCTTTTAAAAGGTCAGCCAGATTACAACACACTGAGTTGTAGTTTGCAGCTGTACAGGGGAACACTGGCTAGTTCTGCAGACCAGCTGGTTGTAAAAGCCTATACATGCAAATGGCATTCTCTAGTGAAAAACTGAATGCTTTAAGTTAAACCTAATTACATTACATCTCTATGGAACGATTGTTAGATTTTTCAAAAGCTTTGTTTGCTAGAAAGGGTCATTATATGAAGGGTATATTGATTAAGTTGATACTGAAAGCCTATTGTAGATATTGCAACCGACAGTTTCATAGACTTTTTCATAGACTTTACAGATGGATGCTTATTGATGGATAACTCAATTTTTTTAAGTGCTTTGTCAAGCCTCTTTTAAAATGTGCCTGCTATGGAGCTTTCCCCCACTTCCTGCAAGCATCTAATTTACAGTCCAGTTATCACAGCCTACATTTTTATTTGCTTAAGTAAACTCTTCCATTGAATATATACAATTGAGGAAGGACAAAAAATGACTTTAGAATATTTCTTAACTATATAATACATCTAAAAGTAACTTCTCTCTTTAGTTGCACTCATAAAACTTCTGCACCAAATTCAAATAAGCAATCTGTCTGCTGGTAGTAGATGAAGAACTAAAGTAAATGTCAAAATAATGTACTTCCATTTTGATTATTAATATTTGTATTGCTGTAGAATCTAGACATCCCAACCAAGATCAAGGCTCTACTGTTCTGGGCACTGTAATAGGCAAGATGGACAATGAGTGGGAAGTAAAGCAACTTACCCAAGGTCCTCAGCATATTAACAGCATAGCTAAGAACAGAAATCACATTTCCTGTCATCCTAATGCTCAAACCATGTTCTTTGCCAATGTTGGTCTTCTCAGGTGTACAAACTGAATATAACTTGCAGACATAAAGGATGAACATGGTGAACAAATTTCTACATCTCATGTTGCAGTTTGGAAACAATGGAAAATTTGGTCTTATCAGTATTTACCTGCACCTCTTGTGGACCATGGATTGCCATTTCCAGCTAATGGGAGCTGCAGGAAGGTGTGTCATGGTCCATGCTGCTTCTCGCAGCTCCCATTGGCTGGGAACAGCAATCCATGGCCAACATAAGCAAGCACCTGTATCTGTGGTGGCACAGGTAATTACAGCACTGGTAGATGTATATAAACCTCTTTCAAAGGTCTATGCTCATGCAAAACTTGGATAGAAATAGCTGCTTTTTGCAATTTTATTTTATAAGTCAATAGTCAGAACTTTGAACGGACCCAAATAGAAACACTGACAAAGACCCACAATCTTGGGAGAAATTTAGATCCCAATTATTGGCTCGCCACCACGGGGGTGAGGGTGGGGATGGGGAAACTACATTGGTGTCTGGTGATTCAGAAGGTCCCAGGACTCCTGGTTGTCCTTACTGTGGCTGCAGCAGCCACAGCTGGAGCCCCCAGCCCCACACATCATGCTCCATTCAGTGCTGAGGGGTCTCAGGGGAAGAGCATGGTGCAGTGAGCCCCACATCTTCTACCAAGGGCATGCTCCTTCTGGGAGTACAGGGTCAGACCCGCCAACCTTGCCCAGGGGCCAAGTAATTCTGTTGCCCCCCCCCCCGCCCAATTAGATTATTATAACTGCCCTTCAAATGATAATGGCCCTGATCAGAGAAATGAAAATCCTTTCTTCACCTTTCTCTAGATTTTGGGAAGACAAAATTTGGATGACGACTTTGGCCCACTTACTTTTGGATTTCTCAAGCCCAATTTAGCCTGAGTTTTCCAGTATTTAGAATCAAATAAATAGCTCATCTGTATGGGCAAATATTTGCTTTTTCTTGGGTAGAGACCACAGAGAGAAGGGAATTCCATTGGCTGGGTTAGGAAGACTGATACAGGGACAGCTGCTTTGCATTCAGTGGTGTTTATATTGGTGAGTAACATAATATTTGATGTCACTGACATGCCCAGAATAAATGGCCATGGACAAAGGACATGCTTTTTCCACAAAACACATCATTAAGTTGTAGAATTCATTGGCTTCAGAAGTTCTTGAGGACAAGAACTTACCAAGATTCCAAACAAGATTGGACACGTACACAGAGATCAAGAATATCCAGAATTACCACAATACAAAATTTGGAAGTGATGTTAAATGTCATGCTTCAGGGCATAAGCTGTTCTCTGTTTGAGGTCAGGACCAGACCTCATGTTGGGGGGTGAGAAGAAAGAGTATCCCACATCTGTCTGCGTCAGGGTTGTTACCCCTTCCTGTGAGAAAACTGGTGCTAGCCGCTCTCAGGAACAAGATACTACATTAGACTGACCTTGATCTGGACTGGTATGTAAACTCCTGTGTTGCTATAATAAACGGCTTTTGCTAACAGTTTTGCACAGCACCTAATATAAAATAAATCTGATTCAAGGCCCCATCATGCTCCCAATGAAGTCAGTGACAGTTCTGCTTTTCACTTAAAAAAAAAATCAGGCCCAGTTCTTAACCCATCCCTCCCCCACTCATGCATACCCATTGCTCCAAAAAAAAAAAAAAAAAAAGACTCAGCCATTTGTTGCTAAATCAGCCCACTCCCAGAAATAAATCTGCCTGAAAAGTAATGGGTGAAAAAAAGTACATGCTACAGGTGGCTGTGGACAACTAGAATATAGCAAGTTAGGCTGCCACAACAGACTATGATAAATTTTCCCTAGATCCTATGACAGACACGAAAGGTTTGAGTAACTTATAGGCAGAATGTGTGTTGCTAGCAAATATAAACTACCACATATATTTGTCACAATTTTGTTTGTACTTAGTGGGACCCATGCAGAATAACGAGGACTAATGTGTTGTCTTACTCTGGGAGGGCAAGTGATGGAAATTGCTTCTGGAGATGCCTGTGAAGTTTTGAAAATTGTTCAAATGATTTTTCCACGAAGGTGACCACCTGGCTGGTTTGCACCACCTGGACTAAATAGAGCTGCATTGGGGAAAACCAGAAACAGAAATGATTAGAGAGGGGCTTATGAAAAAAAAAAAGGGCATACAAAATAGTAGGGAGATTTCCACAAAGAAAAACCTTTTTGAAATGTCGGTCGAAGCACTTGAAAATACAATTTGTAGTTTATAGGCGTAGTTATATACAGCAGAACATGTCTGGATGGTATGCAGTTCAAACACTGAGATATCACCTCTGAGTGAGAAAACCACTCTATTCAAGCATACAGTTGTTTTTATCAGGCTCCCTAATTTTGTACTGTGCTTTCCTTATGGGTGCTATAATTAGCTCTTGATTTATTTTTCACTACAGGGCAGGAACTATTCTCCTTAATGGCTCTCCGCTAATAGCTCTCTGCCTGGTTTTATTTCCCTCCAGAATCTCATTGCTTATGGCACCACTGCTCATTCCATGATCTTTTCATTGTAGCACAAGCACATTTTATATAACCGAGGCAGAGGAGCGTGTAAGCTAAACGAAGAATGGTTAAAGATCAAGCGAAAGGAGGGCAAGCGGAGAGTGCAATACATACAGAGTCAGGCTTTTTGCTGAACCCTAAAATGGTTGCTCGGGCAATTGACCTCTCTGCATCCAGCATGTTGGATTCCTGAGGAACACTCTGTGTAGCTGAAGACTTGGCAGAGCCTGTGGCTAGCATCTGTGCGAGCGTATGGATCAGGTTATTGAGTTTGACAGGGAAGCACTCTAAACTTTCCTTTATTTTCCTGAGAAAACAAAACAAAAGGAAGATCAAATGCAAATGCTTCTCTTCACGCATATACTTCTCTTTGCTTGTTTCCTCGTGCCTGCTGCCACAAATGGAAATAAAAACAAACCATAGACAACACAAATACACACATGCTCATCACTGTTGGTTTGCAGCAGCACAATTTACCCAGCAATTGAACCCACTTTGGAGCAGTTATTTCATCAGTCTCCAAAGGCCTAAGGCTGGGTGTGCTTGGAGAGACGAGGCACACACAATGCCTCTGTGCATGCTAAGCACCACCAATTACTACGCCTTTAATAAGTATGCAATATGTGCTTCCTTCAGTTGGCACAGGAGACTGTCCGTGGCATGTCCCCTTTGGATATGTTAAGCTTACAACAACACACTAGTGTCTGTGCTCAGAAGTATCAGCACCAACACCGCGATTCTCAAAGCTGATTTAGAGATTCACCTATTGGAGTTTGGATTACTAAAACCCCCAGTGGATTTTTAAAATCTCAACCCAGGATCCTATTTACCCTTTGTGTTGCTGCAGAAGCCCCCTATGCTGTCTTTCTCCATTTCATTTCTATGCAAGGTAAGCCAGAACACAGTTTTTGTTTCCTTGAACTTTGGGATCCTTCAGGAGGAATGGCACTGAAGACATAAAAGCATGACCGCTTCTTCAGATCAAATGTAAATTCTGTTTGGAAAATGGCACTTGCAAAATCATATCACACTAGTCCTTGCAGGGGGAGAACCACCACCCCTAAAATTAACTGACTCTATTTTCACTATGATGTTAAGTTCCCTCTCTCTTTCTCTACTTACCCAAGCTTTGGGATCAGCTTTCTGGGATATGCAGGATAGCTGTTGATGTTATGGACTGCCAACCATTCAGGGTTAACTACAGGCAGTCCCTGAGTTACATGGATCCGACTTATGTTGGATCCGTACTTACGAACAGGGCTTTTCTTGCCCCGGAGAACGCGGGCGGCGGGACCGCCCAGACGCACCGAGGGCCCGCCACCCGCGTCCTCCGGGGCGAGAAAAGCTGCTCCACGTCTCCCTGGGCTGCTGGGGGAACCCCCCCAGCAGAACAGGGAAGCATGGAGCAAA